TAGATTTTATAAATGTTGTCAAACAAAAGCTCAGCACTTGTCGGTCGTTCTGTTAAGGTCTCGATTCATTAGTTATAGGAGAACTAAACGAAACATATCAAAMAATTGCTTCAGAGAAAAATTCATTCGTTTGCCAAACTTTTGCTTACCATATATGGTAATCTTACCTTAYAAGGAAGTACGTTAGAAAGTTTTTTTCAAGTTTTTCCCACCTTTTAGTGCTTTTAAAAAATGGCTAGAACTTACAGAATTTGCAGAGAAATCGCTTTTCAACATGTCGGCCATTAAATAATTTTGTCCTAGTCCCCTCCCATCCTTGAAAATAAGGGATCCCACAAAAAACACAGGTAGCCCGAGCGAATGTTAGGCAATTGTTTGATATRAATTCAAYAGAAGTTGAAAATAACCTCATTGAAATTAATTCGAAACTCACAAAATATGTTGACTACAYGTATGTCCAATGATCTTGAATTCGTGTAAGTCTTAACTGAATCTATAATTTGCTTGCAGAAATGGACGACTTCGAAAAACAAAGGACATTTCTAGCATTGGRGGCTGGGCTGCTGGWGGCAAAAWAAAGGGCGAATATATCCAAATTGACCTTGGTATGGAGAAGGTCATCACCATGGTTGCCACACAAGGGCGAGACTGCTGTACACAATGGGTTACTAAGTACTCGCTATCGTACAGCAATGATGSCAGTAATTGGAAAGATTACGAAGGAGATTGTACGAAGGTAAAATWAAACGCAGTTTTTCTTGCAATTTATAGAGTCATTTTATAGGTATGTAAACAACCTTTCTRTAATGTCTCATGTGCTGATGTTGCTGTTTTGCTCTTGAGAAATACCTGTATACGAGAATCTTTTGATTTATTGCTTTGTGATTGGCTCAACAAGAGTGGTGCCATTTCGCATATGAGAGTAAGGCAACTTTAAGTAAATAAGAAAAGAGTTAAGTAAGATGTATTAGCGTTCAACATGACGACGAAATCTCAGCAAGTTTTCTTATATAATTATAATACAATCGACCATTCAACTATCTAGTAATGTATATTCTTCTTTTCTTTTACACAGCTTTTCACTGGAAACAGCGATGAAAACACTATCGTGACTAACGAGCTTGAAGTACCCATCAAAACCAGGCACATTTGACTGATTGTGAAGGCCTTTAGGGGATGGGCTACGATAAGAATCGAGTTTTATGGTTGTACAAAGTTATCTACGTGATAACGTTTAGTACTA